CTTTGATTCGTTGTTCAGCAATTCTGGACTAGGATCGTTGGGTGTGTGTGAGAGTATGACTGCCAAAGTCTAAAAATCTGACGTTAGATCTTGAGCACCAGATAAGATCATACAAAAAAATTGTTGTCTGTGGAATCTTCCATCAGTTCGAACTATCAGATTCTTGAAAGATCTTGCTGTATTGTAAGATATGAATACAAAATTTTGTAAAATCTTGTGCAATATTAAGATCTTTCACGAATATTATGGTATGTGCCGATCTAAGATTTCTGAGATGACGATTGTTTGCTTGATCTAACAAGATCATACAAGATCAGATTCAGAATCTTGACAGGTCTTAGTATATGATTGTTCCTCTGGGTGTGTGGTGTGGATATGAGATGTGAGCGTACGGTGTAACTGTGAACAAGAATATGGTAATACTAGACCCACAATCACACCCCACACTCACCCTTCACGATGAATAGGGATAAGATACACCAATTTCAATGCTGAGCAATTTCAATTTTTAGAGTTGGTTGAAATTGGTGCATCTCTAAAGGCGAAAAGCATTTTCATACAAAGAACCATTTCCCAAGGACATCGTTCGCGAAGGACATTTATGCTGCAGGACATTTATGCTGCAGGACATTTTTTCCGGCTACCAAATCTCGAGGACATTTCGTAAAGGACATTTTTGCAAGGACATTCTAATCTGTAGCTATTCGTTCAGTTAGTTATCAATTATCCTTTTTAAATTATTGCCAACCCCCAGTCAGTATTTTGTCTATAAGAAGTTGAATGCGTATTATCATATATTACACCGAAAGTTTATTTCAATAAGGTTTGAAGAAAGAAGAAGATCGAAAATATTTTATCATTCAAAAATTTCAACAAAACTCCATTTGTTCCAAGTCTAATCAGAGAGTTGTTTCCACTGGTCGATCACTTTTTTCAACGAGAGCTTTTGACCTATAGGTTATTGGTTATGCTGATTACAAATGTCAACATAAGAAATCTTTTCTGTTTTCATATTTTGGCGTTTTGGATTGGCTAGAGAATATGCTGCTATTTTAGTTTTGTGATATTAATACATATCAATATTTTGAGGTGAAAATTGAAAACCGATATGATGATTGCTTGTACGCAAATCAATGCATTTCATCATCTGAATAGATTCGAATAGATACCAGCAAAATATTTATCATTTTTCAAAGTAGATTTTTGGAGGAAAAAATAGTATTTAAAGACGGAACAATCAACCATTTCTTGTGTTCATGTTTGGAATCAATAACGTCAGACAGCACGATAAGTAGAAAGAACCGTGGCGATAAACGTTTGTGATCTATTATTATATAGATTAATTTTTTTTTGTCTGCTCTTGTTTATTTCAGAAGCAGGTATGTTTTAAAAAACTTATTTCAAAAACTTAATGTGTAATTGTTCAAAAAAAGAATATGCAACAGAATTAAGAAAACCATGTATTCCATGTTTGATGCAACCACGATTTAGACCATATGGATGGGTAAAAACAAATATGAAATAAAAGTTCTTGATTTAAATTTCTATTTTTGCTTTAGCTTGGAATTATCAAAGGAGCTAAACTTCATGTCGATTTTGCAACATTACCGTGAGTGTGCAAAATTGGTATTTTGCAAGTCAATAAAGATATATATGCAATTTAGTTTTGAAGAGGCATTTGCATTACTAATTCGTGAAATAGAAATAATAAGACGAGATATTATAGTGAAAAATACTTGCAATGCTACATATGATAAAACGAATCCACCTTTTTATTATCAACATGGTGATGGCTTTACGTCTGCTAATAGCAATTATGTTGATAATGGTATATATTTTATATCTTTTTAAAAATTGTGTTCATTTGAATTTGTTTTGAAAATTTCAATTATCAGATTTGAATCGTAAATGTCCAAGTTGTGTAGAGAAGATTAATGTAGCCATGAGCTGGGATGTAAGTAAAGTTAAACAATGGTTGGAACGCATTGAATTATCTCAGTATGTCCATTGAAAAAAATCTAGAAAACAAGATCAACTGTATTTTTTTCTTATTTAGCTTAGAAACCGCTTTAATTGATGTTGATGGAAAATTACTATGCACATTACATAAAATGAAACAATCATCTGCAGATTCATACTACAAATTTCTTGATAAACATTTTGATCGTATCCAAGCAGCACAAATGAGTGATACACTCAAGTTCGATTATGAACTTGAACGTCTTTTTCAATAGCATCGAATGATATTATCTATCTATTTTTGTATCGAAATGAAGTTTTTTTTCTTCTGCAAATATGAATCACTATTTTTTATACAAAGTATGTTGATATGCATAAAGTTTTTTACATAATAATTAAATACTAATCAAGGAATCTTGATAAGACACAGAAAGCATCTTTTTTTCCATTTTGGACATGTTTTTTGTGAATAGGTTAATGATAGAGCAAATTGCGAGTAAAATTTTCTTTTGCTTTATCTTTCTTATAAATAGTTGGAGAGAGTATGAGTTTTGATACAGAAAAACTTGTTTTTTAAGAATTGAATGATACTTTTTTGCGCGTCAAAATATCAAAAATTTAAAAGGATATCATTTTTTTCCGTTTGTTGTATCTTCTGCTTTGCTTTTCTAACCATATGTGAACGATAGTTTGTTTTTTGAAATTGAACAATAACATCTGAATATAGGAGTGATGTTGTATTCGATACATCAATGGTAGAGATGCACCAGTACCAGTATACTGGTCCACCAGTAATACTGGTTTTCTAGTTTCGAAAGTAACTGTTGGCTAAATGAGTCATTTTCTCAGCCATCACTTCTTTTATCCATATTCAAGTGAACAATTGAGTTTTGCAGCAGCTTGAAACGGTACAAGATATTGTTATACTCAACTAGCTGATAACGTTATCTAGAGCAGTTTTCAATGGTTTTCAACGTTTTTGAAGAAAAAAGATCATTCCTTCAGGTCATAGTGATGGTGAAAAAGAGATTGTGCTCGAAATCTATATTGAGCATATTATATAGCACTAAAAGCCATTCAATCGAGAAAACAATAAATGTATATGTTGTAAACAATGGCAATTGTCACTCGTATTAGTATTAAATAAGAAAATACTATTGATACGAGCGCAACTTATGCACTGATTTTATTCAATACTAATAAAACTACTATATTGATGTGTCAGGTTCAATTTGTAAGTATAAATCCAAAACGATAAAGAGTTAAGAGCAGTATTTTTGATTACATAAGTTAAAAGATTCGATCAAATTATTGCTATCGTTACAAAATTGAATAGGTAATAGTGACATTGCTTGTTTACCGTACTGTAATTTACATTTAATATATGTATTATCTGTTCCATATCCGATATCATGAACAAAAAAGTTCTAATTTTAGCTATGTAAGTTATATACATAAACTAATGTAATAGATATGTGAAAATAGTGTCATCCGACTGAGAGAGAGGTAGAAAAATCAAGCCATTTACTTATATGAGATGTATGTAGCTAAAGGTTGATAAAGTTCACTAAATATCCAATTGTTTTTTTTCTCTTGATCGATTAAACCTAAGTTCAAGTTGGTATGTTAAACATAGTATTCCGATTCATCGGTTTATCTAATAAGAGTGTTTTACTATCTGACTAAATCCATGAATGAAATTATTTTTTTCTTCCTTAACGTTGAATTGAAAAAAGTTCTATATAATGTTATCAGCTAGTTGAGTATACAATATCTTATACTGTTTCAAATGCTGCAAAACTCAAATTTTCACTTGAATATAGACAAAAGCATTGATGACTGAGAAAATTACTCATTTAGTTAAAAGTTATTTTCGAAAGTAGAAAACCAGTATTACTGGTGATCAGTATTAACTGGATCAATAGACCAGTATAATACTGGAGAATCCCTAATCAAAGGAAATCTCATAATAATTTTCAAGGTTTCTTGGGGCTCCAATGCAAAAGCTTTGACGAGAAAATTTCAGCTAAATATCATAATATTTGTATAGTATATGTATCAAAGAACGATTCAAAATAGTTTTGTTACCATGTAAAAGTCCGTAACTTTCTTCATTTCAATGAAATAGATTCAATTGATTATTCTAAGAATGACTTCAAAACTCTTAGAATCTATATGAAACAATGAATTCTTCGTTTCAGATTATTTGTAGATATTGTTTGAAATTGTCTAAAGAACAAGTATCATCTGTCATATCTAGTTTAATATATGCTGGTGTTCATTAAATCATAGCATAATTTTCACAGTTGGTTCAATATCTTGTGACAAATTAGTTGCTGCTCTCTATTGAGGATGTAAATGTGATAACTTTGATCTATGATGAAGTTTACCAATATTTGACATCAATTTGAATTTAGCCTAGCAAGAATCAAAGACACATTGTTGACTAGTGTAATTATGAATAAAGCCATTGGTCGTATAGCAAATGATTTAAATCAATATCAAACTTGGAATTGAAATAGATACGTTTCTAGCCTTCGCTTAGACCTTCAATATCGACCTTTGATGGTAAAATTTATAGATTCATTAATAAGAATGACTTAAATTATTCTATTAAATATCGTGATACTAAAAAAATAATAAGTTCGAAACAATCTATGTAGTATTTTTTCATCATAGCAACTGAGACAATAAAATCTGATGAAGATGACCAATTTATCTTTAACGATGTAATAGCAGAAGCAATGCTCTAACAATAATATTGTGACAGACATAGAATGTCGTCTATGACCATCGACATGATGGTTTATTGTATCATTTTCATATATCTAATCGCATATTTCCTTGTACAACAAAAAGTGATTAAGCATGAATGAACAGGAACAAAGTGGAAATGCGGTCAGACCATAGGGCAATGAGGGATAGTCACAAGGTCAATACTCAAACACACGAATATAGAGAAGAGGACAATGTATATGAAGTGAACCGTAATGGTTAAACAAGGGGGAACAAACTGATTTCAGAAGTCGAAATCAACTTGAAATCACTTGAAATCATGTGAAATCATTTGAAATCACTCGAAATCATTTGAAATCATCCGTAATCACTTGAAATCATCATTTGCTGTACATGGGTATGGTTTTCTGTGCTACTTTGAAAAATGGCAATGAAGCAACACAAACAGTTTTTCGCATGCTTTTTGTTTGGTACTATTTAAAGAGTAGCTTTTCCCAGTGCTAGCTACTGACGAATAATACTTTACTACACACATTATCGTCCATTTCAAAAGAGAAGAAGGGTGGTTGTGTTTTGATTAACTTTTTAACAGAAATAGCTATCGCTCTGTGGTTTTCACTATTCGATAGAAGGAGGCACTTTGCAACTTTCTATACATGATTCAAAATTTTATCTTATGATATTAATAAGCCGCGAGTAAAATCCTTAGCAGCAGATAAAGGCCTATAAAAATCATATAACACGTGAGTTATGAGGAGTACATTAGATTTGCCTGCTCAAGATCTACAATTCTATACAGATCCGAAATTTTTATTAATAAAAATTTCGGATCTGTATAGAATTGTAGATCTTGAGCAGGCAAATCTAATGTACTCCTCATAACTCACGTGTTATATGATTTTTATAGGCCTTTATCTGCTGCTAAGGATTTTACTCGCGGCTTATTAATATCATAAGATAAAATTTTGAATCATGTATAGAAAGTTGCAAAGTGCCTCCTTCTATCGAATAGTGAAAACCACAGAGCGATAGCTATTTCTGTTAAAAAGTTAATCAAAACACAACCACCCTTCTTCTCTTTTGAAATGGACGATAATGTGTGTAGTAAAGTATTATTCGTCAGTAGCTAGCACTGGGAAAAGCTACTCTTTAAATAGTACCAAACAAAAAGCATGCGAAAAACTGTTTGTGTTGCTTCATTGCCATTTTTCAAAGTAGCACAGAAAACCATACCCATGTACAGCAAATGATGATTTCAAGTGATTACGGATGATTTCAAATGATTTCGAGTGATTTCAAATGATTTCACATGATTTCAAGTGATTTCAAGTTGATTTCGACTTCTGAAATCAGTTTGTTCCCCCTTGTTTAACCATTACGGTTCACTTCATATACATTGTCCTCTTCTCTATATTCGTGTGTTTGAGTATTGACCTTGTGACTATCCCTCATTGCCCTATGGTCTGACCGCATTTCCACTTTGTTCCTGTTCATTCATGCTTAATCACTTTTTGTTGTACAAGGAAATATGCGATTAGATATATGAAAATGATACAATAAACCATCATGTCGATGGTCATAGACGACATTCTATGTCTGTCACAATATTATTGTTAGAGCATTGCTTCTGCTATTACATCGTTAAAGATAAATTGGTCATCTTCATCAGATTTTATTGTCTCAGTTGCTATGATGAAAAAATACTACATAGATTGTTTCGAACTTATTATTTTTTTAGTATCACGATATTTAATAGAATAATTTAAGTCATTCTTATTAATGAATCTATAAATTTTACCATCAAAGGTCGATATTGAAGGTCTAAGCGAAGGCTAGAAACGTATCTATTTCAATTCCAAGTTTGATATTGATTTAAATCATTTGCTATACGACCAATGGCTTTATTCATAATTACACTAGTCAACAATGTGTCTTTGATTCTTGCTAGGCTAAATTCAAATTGATGTCAAATATTGGTAAACTTCATCATAGATCAAAGTTATCACATTTACATCCTCAATAGAGAGCAGCAACTAATTTGTCACAAGATATTGAACCAACTGTGAAAATTATGCTATGATTTAATGAACACCAGCATATATTAAACTAGATATGACAGATGATACTTGTTCTTTAGACAATTTCAAACAATATCTACAAATAATCTGAAACGAAGAATTCATTGTTTCATATAGATTCTAAGAGTTTTGAAGTCATTCTTAGAATAATCAATTGAATCTATTTCATTGAAATGAAGAAAGTTACGGACTTTTACATGGTAACAAAACTATTTTGAATCGTTCTTTGATACATATACTATACAAATATTATGATATTTAGCTGAAATTTTCTCGTCAAAGCTTTTGCATTGGAGCCCCAAGAAACCTTGAAAATTATTATGAGATTTCCTTTGATTAGGGATTCTCCAGTATTATACTGGTCTATTGATCCAGTTAATACTGATCACCAGTAATACTGGTTTTCTACTTTCGAAAATAACTTTTAACTAAATGAGTAATTTTCTCAGTCATCAATGCTTTTGTCTATATTCAAGTGAAAATTTGAGTTTTGCAGCATTTGAAACAGTATAAGATATTGTATACTCAACTAGCTGATAACATTATATAGAACTTTTTTCAATTCAACGTTAAGGAAGAAAAAAATAATTTCATTCATGGATTTAGTCAGATAGTAAAACACTCTTATTAGATAAACCGATGAATCGGAATACTATGTTTAACATACCAACTTGAACTTAGGTTTAATCGATCAAGAGAAAAAAAACAATTGGATATTTAGTGAACTTTATCAACCTTTAGCTACATACATCTCATATAAGTAAATGGCTTGATTTTTCTACCTCTCTCTCAGTCGGATGACACTATTTTCACATATCTATTACATTAGTTTATGTATATAACTTACATAGCTAAAATTAGAACTTTTTTGTTCATGATATCGGATATGGAACAGATAATACATATATTAAATGTAAATTACAGTACGGTAAACAAGCAATGTCACTATTACCTATTCAATTTTGTAACGATAGCAATAATTTGATCGAATCTTTTAACTTATGTAATCAAAAATACTGCTCTTAACTCTTTATCGTTTTGGATTTATACTTACAAATTGAACCTGACACATCAATATAGTAGTTTTATTAGTATTGAATAAAATCAGTGCATAAGTTGCGCTCGTATCAATAGTATTTTCTTATTTAATACTAATACGAGTGACAATTGCCATTGTTTACAACATATACATTTATTGTTTTCTCGATTGAATGGCTTTTAGTGCTATATAATATGCTCAATATAGATTTCGAGCACAATCTCTTTTTCACCATCACTATGACCTGAAGGAATGATCTTTTTTCTTCAAAAACGTTGAAAACCATTGAAAACTGCTCTAGATAACGTTATCAGCTAGTTGAGTATAACAATATCTTGTACCGTTTCAAGCTGCTGCAAAACTCAATTGTTCACTTGAATATGGATAAAAGAAGTGATGGCTGAGAAAATGACTCATTTAGCCAACAGTTACTTTCGAAACTAGAAAACCAGTATTACTGGTGGACCAGTATACTGGTACTGGTGCATCTCTACCATTGATGTATCGAATACAACATCACTCCTATATTCAGATGTTATTGTTCAATTTCAAAAAACAAACTATCGTTCACATATGGTTAGAAAAGCAAAGCAGAAGATACAACAAACGGAAAAAAATGATATCCTTTTAAATTTTTGATATTTTGACGCGCAAAAAAGTATCATTCAATTCTTAAAAAACAAGTTTTTCTGTATCAAAACTCATACTCTCTCCAACTATTTATAAGAAAGATAAAGCAAAAGAAAATTTTACTCGCAATTTGCTCTATCATTAACCTATTCACAAAAAACATGTCCAAAATGGAAAAAAAGATGCTTTCTGTGTCTTATCAAGATTCCTTGATTAGTATTTAATTATTATGTAAAAAACTTTATGCATATCAACATACTTTGTATAAAAAATAGTGATTCATATTTGCAGAAGAAAAAAAACTTCATTTCGATACAAAAATAGATAGATAATATCATTCGATGCTATTGAAAAAGACGTTCAAGTTCATAATCGAACTTGAGTGTATCACTCATTTGTGCTGCTTGGATACGATCAAAATGTTTATCAAGAAATTTGTAGTATGAATCTGCAGATGATTGTTTCATTTTATGTAATGTGCATAGTAATTTTCCATCAACATCAATTAAAGCGGTTTCTAAGCTAAATAAGAAAAAAATACAGTTGATCTTGTTTTCTAGATTTTTTTCAATGGACATACTGAGATAATTCAATGCGTTCCAACCATTGTTTAACTTTACTTACATCCCAGCTCATGGCTACATTAATCTTCTCTACACAACTTGGACATTTACGATTCAAATCTGATAATTGAAATTTTCAAAACAAATTCAAATGAACACAATTTTTAAAAAGATATAAAATATATACCATTATCAACATAATTGCTATTAGCAGACGTAAAGCCATCACCATGTTGATAATAAAAAGGTGGATTCGTTTTATCATATGTAGCATTGCAAGTATTTTTCACTATAATATCTCGTCTTATTATTTCTATTTCACGAATTAGTAATGCAAATGCCTCTTCAAAACTAAATTGCATATATATCTTTATTGACTTGCAAAATACCAATTTTGCACACTCACGGTAATGTTGCAAAATCGACATGAAGTTTAGCTCCTTTGATAATTCCAAGCTAAAGCAAAAATAGAAATTTAAATCAAGAACTTTTATTTCATATTTGTTTTTACCCATCCATATGGTCTAAATCGTGGTTGCATCAAACATGGAATACATGGTTTTCTTAATTCTGTTGCATATTCTTTTTTTGAACAATTACACATTAAGTTTTTGAAATAAGTTTTTTAAAACATACCTGCTTCTGAAATAAACAAGAGCAGACAAAAAAAAATTAATCTATATAATAATAGATCACAAACGTTTATCGCCACGGTTCTTTCTACTTATCGTGCTGTCTGACGTTATTGATTCCAAACATGAACACAAGAAATGGTTGATTGTTCCGTCTTTAAATACTATTTTTTCCTCCAAAAATCTACTTTGAAAAATGATAAATATTTTGCTGGTATCTATTCGAATCTATTCAGATGATGAAATGCATTGATTTGCGTACAAGCAATCATCATATCGGTTTTCAATTTTCACCTCAAAATATTGATATGTATTAATATCACAAAACTAAAATAGCAGCATATTCTCTAGCCAATCCAAAACGCCAAAATATGAAAACAGAAAAGATTTCTTATGTTGACATTTGTAATCAGCATAACCAATAACCTATAGGTCAAAAGCTCTCGTTGAAAAAAGTGATCGACCAGTGGAAACAACTCTCTGATTAGACTTGGAACAAATGGAGTTTTGTTGAAATTTTTGAATGATAAAATATTTTCGATCTTCTTCTTTCTTCAAACCTTATTGAAATAAACTTTCGGTGTAATATATGATAATACGCATTCAACTTCTTATAGACAAAATACTGACTGGGGGTTGGCAATAATTTAAAAAGGATAATTGATAACTAACTGAACGAATAGCTACAGATTAGAATGTCCTTGCAAAAATGTCCTTTACGAAATGTCCTCGAGATTTGGTAGCCGGAAAAAATGTCCTGCAGCATAAATGTCCTGCAGCATAAATGTCCTTCGCGAACGATGTCCTTGGGAAATGGTTCTTTGTATGAAAATGCTTTTCGCCTTTAGAGATGCACCAATTTCAACCAACTCTAAAAATTGAAATTGCTCAGCATTGAAATTGGTGTATCTTATCCCTATTCATCGTGAAGGGTGAGTGTGGGGTGTGATTGTGGGTCTAGTATTACCATATTCTTGTTCACAGTTACACCGTACGCTCACATCTCATATCCACACCACACACCCAGAGGAACAATCATATACTAAGACCTGTCAAGATTCTGAATCTGATCTTGTATGATCTTGTTAGATCAAGCAAACAATCGTCATCTCAGAAATCTTAGATCGGCACATACCATAATATTCGTGAAAGATCTTAATATTGCACAAGATTTTACAAAATTTTGTATTCATATCTTACAATACAGCAAGATCTTTCAAGAATCTGATAGTTCGAACTGATGGAAGATTCCACAGACAACAATTTTTTTGTATGATCTTATCTGGTGCTCAAGATCTAACGTCAGATTTTTAGACTTTGGCAGTCATACTCTCACACACACCCAACGATCCTAGTCCAGAATTGCTGAACAACGAATCAAAGAATTATATGATCGGTTCAACAATACGCAGATTACACTGCGAGATCTATTGCATGATCTTTCTTTTTTGCCGCGAGTGAAAAATAAGATGAAATTTAATCCGTTATAATAAACTAAACTGCATTTCTAACATTATCGACTACCATTGCTTTTATTTTACTGAAAGGACATTTTAATTATGGAGGACGTTTTTCGAAGTACTAAATCAGAAAAGACCATTTTCCGACGACAGTTTTTACCAAGAAGATTTTGCCTGAAGGATTTTTTTCCAGGGGCCAAATCTCGGAGACATTTCGTAAAGGACATTTTTGCAAGGACGTTCTAGACTGTTACCAACTGAACTCTATATGTATAATAATTCTCCGTCTTAGTATCTTACTGCTATCTAATTCTATCCGCTTAATAAAGAAGTTATTTTTTTTTCAGATAAAATCTTGTCACAAAAGAAAAACTAAAGAGAAATATAACAATATAAAACATAAAACTAACCAAGTCGACAATAATAACTTTGTTTATATTGTTCATTCATACAAATTAAAACAATCGATGAATCCTCAACAGCTTGAGCCATTGATTCTAAAACGCCACCATTTATATTATCAACATCGAGCCATACGCTATAGTGTAAAGCCTAAAATTATTGAAAAGTAAATAACAGCAAAAGTAACTAAACTAGAATATTGACATACTTTTAGGCGATCTCGAATTTTTAAACACATTGCTATGACTGATCGATTATATGATATCATAATGTGACCTTGCAGTTGACATGAATTACTGATTGTTGAACAATGTCTATGCGGAATACGATTAAGAGTCCAAAGAATAGCTTCACAGTTCTTTTGAACTAGTTGGCTTCGACTATTATTTTGTGCACATGTTATAATACGAATAGCACGATCTGAATCAAGAAATCTTTGAACTTTTTCATCGAATGAAGCATTTAGTATTGCATTTGATACACATTCAAGTAAATCATTATTTTTTGCAGAATTTTCAAGAAGATTTAAAAGAAGATCCACAAGATTTTGATCAATAAAAGTATGTGAACGACCTCGAACCATCAATTTCGATAAACCATCAACAAGTTCAATAAGAGAAAATCCGTATAATCTTTGATCATTTCGATTATACATTTGAATCATACCAGATAATAATGGAAGAACATCTAAATTGACAATATCATATACATTAGCAAAACCTAAATTAATGTTAATCACCAGATGTATTCTCAGCTAAAAGATTATCTTCATCTTCATTCATTATTAATGGTAATAATAAACATGACGTAACCCGTATGGCGCTAGCTATATCTTGTAATTCTTTTATAATGATCATATATTCGTCGTTGTCGTTTCTTTCAGGAAATTTAATTTGAATTGTATTTGATGATAGTTTTGTATAATCAGCAATTATCTATGCAAAAAGTTGAATTATGAATGAGTATCTTCCATATTCAACGGTATTGAGAGTCTAATAAACAGCTGAAAGGTTTTCCAATGATACTCAGTCTTTATTTCAAATTACTTTGATTCGTTAAAACTAAAAAAAATTACATAGATTTCGAAAACAGTCAGTCAAAAACATAATTACGATAGGTGTGACCTCACCAATGTACTGAAACTTTTTATGTAGAAATTTATTCAAGAGATAAATCTAAACCCTTTTCCCTGTAACATGTGTGTATAACATTCATGACATCAGTTGTATTGCAAATGAATGTTAGATACGTATACGTATCGTCTTCAATATGTTTTATATTACTCTCATAGATATAAAAATGGAATTTATTATTCAAATGACATGACTTCAATAGATGAAACTAAGATTTTCAATTTTTCAATCTCAGTAAAAACATTAAAATTTATAATTTAATTACTCAAATGATTTCTAAACGTTTCCTTGATTCTGATTGTGTGCTTACCTATTCGAAATAGTCTTTTTTTCGTAGACTGTTCGTTAGACGTTTACAAATACAAGTAACCCAAATACTAAGTTTAGTTATGTTATCTTCGTTGAAATACGAAAGCGAAAAAAATATGTTTATACTGTTTAGTAGCTATCAGTACTATACAATGAATCAGTTTCTTTCTTCTTTTTGTTCTATTTGAAACAAAATATTATTCACTTTCATGGATTGTTATTGTTTGATACATATTTTTCAGAAGAAAAAAAAGAACCAACTTTAACCCGATTGGTCTATATCATCAAATTCAAATACGAAATATCTATTCACTAATTGACATAGAACGTTTGTATACTTATGCATATAGGAATTTTATTTTCTGGCAAAATTATAGTAAGTCGAATACGTACATTGATCGCTTTACATTCTCGAAAATGAATTTTAAGTTCGGGTAAACTTGCTAAATTGTAAAGAACAGTAAGTGCAGAATCACAAATATACAATATTTTCTAAATATCAAGAAAAACAAATTATAAACAAATATATTAATTTCAAAACAAACTTGATAATTATTAAAATCATCACTCTGCATGGTTTCTTCGGGACTATCAATTATATAGTATTTTCTTAATGATTCACGATATGATGGGTCGCTAAGAATCTCACAAGCAAATTCAATAAAACCAGCATCAGCCGATTGCTAAAATAATTGAGAAAATAATAAAAAATAAATCAATATTTTGTATTTTTGATAGTATCAATACTTTTCTAATAAGTCCTTCTTTATCAAATTCATGATCCGTAAAATTAATCATGGCATTATAAAGTAGTATACTATGAACAAAAACTATGCGTCTTACTAAATAACCTTTTTCTTTATAGCTGTTCATTAAAGTCATCGCGATTTCTATAAAAGAAAAAAGATTAGTATAAATCAAGAGAAAATAAATTGAAAACAAAAAACATCAAACCGGGAAATTTCATTTCAGATAGTTTTAGTTTTGCTCCGGAAATCCATTCTTTTGGTTGATGAATTAAGTTTTCAAGAAAACGAAGAATTTTAAGTGCCGTTTGACTCTCATATTCATCTCGTTTCATATTTCTTAATAATAATAAAGCATATTCTAACTAAATGAAAATAACAAAAGAAAATCATTAAATAAATTCTATTTCAAATAATAACTTTTCGTGTATATTCAGTAAATGTTTCTGCTTCATGTTCAACTGGAAGTGTTTCTGATGCTGATACAGCAACTAAACCAGTATTATCAGTTGTATATGAATTATCTGTATTCTCCATGGTTATCTTTCGCATACGACGACGTTTCTAAATTGAGAATAAAAATGTTTATTTTTTTTGTGTTCGAATCTTATTCTATTGTTCTTTTACTGAAATAAAAAGCATTGGTATTTTGGCAAAACTTTTACAAATAACAACTTGTGCCAAATTGATATCTCGACTATGATTTTGTCGAGTGAAGAATTTTTTGACTTTATCTTTTACTTCTTTAGTAGGCAATATGAATCCACTATGTTTTGATGATGCAGATGAAGATATGGAAGCTGTGGAAGTCGATAACTAAAAATATGATTGCTTTTATACATCAGTTTATTCGAAAAAAAAAACAGATTTTCATACATGTTTAGATGAATTTGAATATGACATGTTGAGATATTTGAAAAAATTTAGATCATTGATTTATATTTTCGTAGCTATAGGAAAAATTCAAAATGTTACTATTTCTGTTTCTTATGAATAATTTATTATCAATTTTTAAGTGCATTTCATTCATAGTATAGCGTCATCGTTTTCTTTTCCTTTTCTTACTAATATCATGTGTGCGTGGTTATTGGCAATCTTAAAATACATGCGACTATTGGATTAGTTAATATATGTATAGAGGCACGTTGCCAGTGGTTGCCTTTACTACCAGTATATAACTTGAAATCATGGATGATGATTTTAATTTGTAATCGAAATATTTCCTTAATAGATTATACGACTTAAAAACTTGAATTATGAAGAATGTGTCTATCAAACGATTATGATATGTAGACTAAAATCTTTGCAATATCTAAGAAATAATTTTGTTGGGCACTTACACACATCTGCTTTTTTTCTAGTTTATGTATTTATTATAATAAATAGATATCTTAGATAGAAAGAGTTGTTTTGAAGTAAAAATAAAACTCTTTGTCTGCTATACTCGATTAAAAATATTTAGTTTATATTAAAGAATAAATTTAAGTGTAATTTTTGTATCCTTTTTTCAATATTTATTTTAAATAATTTATATGAAGTCTTCATAAAAAATATAGTGTGTAGTTTTCAAGTTTTTTTTCTTAACAAAATTGATTAACGATGTTCAATCAATAACTTCCTCATGTTCAATAGATACTTATAGAATTTTTAGGCCGCTTCGATGATAGTCAATTTTCTTTGTGTATATCTTTACATTTATTTTTGTTATTAACCGACACCACACATTATTGTAAATAGAATGATCATAACAGATATGGATTGATGTATCAACGAATGAAAATAATTTTGATGATCACACCTGAAGAAAGTGTAACACAAATATGCAATTTTTCTAAAGCATCATTCATCCTAGCAGAATAAAAATGATTACGATTTCATTTATTCTTAGTTTATTGATGAGTTTGTATGTAGACAAAATTCATTTGCCTTCGAAGTTTCTTTACCACTTCGTTTGTTCCACTATTTTCGTTGAGGATACATTTGAGAAAAAATAATCAGTTTACACAAATTCATTCTTTGATAACTTTGGAATCATCCTATTTGACATAGACAAAATTAAGCATTTCAATTACAGTAAAACCTCTTTTGAAACGGAATCGTTGGAAAGTGTTCACTATGGAAGATGCGATTTGTGATAATCAATTGTGAAATGAAGATTCATGCGAAAACTCTCTCTTAAAAGGCTAACCTACAAATAATAAGAGATAATTATCTACCTTGTTCATTCTCTTTCAATCGAGTTTATTCGATTCGAAAATTTTATAATCGAAACAAAAACAAATTAGTATAACTTATTTATTCTGGTTTGATTGATAAATAATTCTATAAATATTCTTCTTTAAGTTTTAATATGTTGTGTATTGACCCAACCGAAATGTTGTATTTTTCAACAGATTTACACTGTGAGAGACCTTCATCGCCTCTGTATTCGTTAGTAAATTTACGTTGACATCGTACTGTTATTGTATTACCTGATGCGTACAGTTAGGTAAAATATGATGAATAGTAACTTTTAATGCACTAGTTAATAAGGGTGGAGAGAGTAAAAAGAGAAAAAGTATATGTGTGTTCACTTATAAGAGACTAAAGTAGCAATCGGGAGCCGTGAAAACAGTTTTTCCACTATGAGAGATGCGTTTTCAACAAAAGTCATTTCATGGAATCAATGCATATTTTACATTTCAATGTGAATGTTGGCTTATTCTTATAAAACTATATCATTATATTCTTGAATTTATTTCTTATATAAAGTTCCAGGATAGGAAAGATCGTATGTCAATGAATCCTAACCAAACTTACGTTATTCTAAGCTATTTTTATATTCGATACTAGACAGGAAAGTATAATTCAAGATTTCTTTCTTTCTTTCTTTCTTTCTGTTGTCTCATAAAGTAAGATCATTGATAAAAATGAGTTATAAACATAGATCATAATATCAGTGGGCATGTCTTTCATACACTCAGTATTATTGTTTTATGTTTGAAAAAAATGTGTAAGAGGAGGTATTTTTTGTCGATAGCATCTATTGATGCAATTAACTTGTGCTTGGTTAATTTATCTCAAAGTACGGAATAAAATAGAATAAACACATAATTATATTAAGACTATTGTGTAGTCCACTAAATTGAATTATGAAAAGTAGAACATCACAATATACAATAATATGTTTTTTTCTAAACAAATTTTGAAAGTAATTGATTATTCACTCATCCGTTTGACACGAATGTTCTCAATGAAACTGTAGATTTCATTGACCAGTTAATTAATCATGTGTAGATTAACAGATCTCTCGATTATTTTTAAAAATCAATTAAAAACTAGTCTATTCATGCATACCAAAAAGAAAGAGAACGTTGTAGGTTACGACAAAGAAAAAGAAACGTCGATATATCTCAACTGTTATACAACAAATGTATGTTGGTTCTGCTTGGTTTGACGAAAAGGTTACATTCATTCTCTTTTTTTTCTTTATCGAATATGGATGTGGGTGTTCTTCATATGAGTCTTACTTAATTTCGTGTGCTTGAAAAAGAAAAAGGATAGAGACAAAAGGGAAATTTTTGACGAGCATCAATTGTTATTGAGTAGCATAAATCGAATATCTTTTTAGTAAATACCATAGACATTTCGTGCAAGAGTTAGAAAAAAGAAAAAGACGTAAATTGCTTTTTACGATTCTCGAAAAAAAAACGATTAAACCATAAAAGATAAGAACTACTAAAAAACAAATCATAGATACATTCAATTCAACAAATGTCTGAAGACGCATCAAAAATACGTAGAGGTTCTGCAGCAGCAGTTGCAATTGAACGACAAGGATCAACCTCGAATCTACGTTCATCGGTATGATCTATTTTTTTGAGAACGAAATATTTCTGTATATATATATATATATATTTTTACTTTTTTGTTTTGTTTCAAATAGTCATTTACAACGGAGAATAATCAACAACGGACTATGTCAACAACCGAAATCGATCTTGAAGCGGTTCTTCAAGTTCGTCGACGTGGATTATCAAATGCAGGTCTTCAGCCAACTCTAGATTCCCATCGTTATACTGATATAATCATTTTAAAAACTGAAAGATCTAATGATATTACCAAAGAGGATGCACGATGTGTATTTCATGGTTTGTTCTATTATACTTTAATTTAAAGATCTTTGAATCATTTCTTCTGCATGTTCGAATAGGAGATTATCATATCTTAAGCGATATCTTTCAAAAATATACATCACATATTAAAATTCATCATGATGATCCTGAAATGGTTAAAAATCATGATCGTCTATCTGGAAAGATTTATACAACAGTCGAATTACCAACAATGTCATTCATTGAAGCATTAGAAATTTTGCATAAACATTATTTTACAATTGTGGCTAATTCAACAAATTTTGGACCAGCAACGAAATTACAAGAATTTATTTTATCACGAAATAAAGACACACAGGATAATCCTCGTTCATTACCAATAATTGATACAAAAACTCGATAAACTTTAAAAACTTTATATTCAAAGAGAAAAAAAATAACATAATATTAGATTTTCGTGTATGTTTAGAATTTGTAGTTTTTCATTTCTTTTCTTTAGATAAAAATGTCCTCCCCCCCTACGATAGGTAGTGTTGACCTTGAATCTGTACTTAATGTTGGTCGTCGAAGTTTAATACCAATTGATGAAACAAGTTTACCTTGTCAACAGTACGTATATACAGACACAATTTATTTAAAACGTCAATGTAATTCTAATTCATTATTTTCAATTGATTCTCAAATACTTATTTTCGGTGAATTACAATTTTTATATAATATATTTGAACGCTATAAGTCAACTATAACTGTTTCTGATAATTCAAATGCAAGAAAATTTCCGGTTACTGTGAAAGAAAATCAAAATGCTGATGAGAATGACACGACTACATCAACAATTGTTTCAATAAATCAAAAAACACCTTCATCTATTCAATCATCATCTGCACTAAAAGTACCAGGTAGTGAAACAACAAATAAAAGATTGAATCTTATCGGACGTACGCAAAGAACTTATTCAATCACTGGTGATTATTTTGGACAACGTCTTGAAGGGAAACATTATGGTTGTATTGAATTACCAAATATGAATTTGATTGAAATTCTTGAAATACTTCTACATACCGATTTAGAATTAGTTCATGAATCGAATAATTATGATAAAGAAAATGTTCTTCATCAAAAATTAATTTTTTCAAAACCAATTCAATCATCACATAGATTAGGACAATCATTTCATTCAAGACGCCCATCATTTCTTGGTACTTAATAAGCTTTAAAAATAATGAAACAAAAGAAAAGACCTATCCCTCTTATGTTTAGAGTAGACTTTTCTTTTTGTGTGACTAAACATTCAATTTTAGCAATAATTATAGAATGCCAGAAAATTGGCAGTAATACAATAGCAATTGATAAAGAAAATAAATGAAATAAGATATTTGACGATCAATTATCACAACTAAAACCATTTCAAACTTCTATTTAAGTAAGATGCACTGGGTGGGTAGTCAAATAAAAAAAAAACGATGTATAATGCTATCGACAATAATAGAAGAAATATTACATTGTAATTACAGTGATTTTCTATGGAAATACTGGTTTGAACGACATCACCTAAAACAAAGATTTTCGAATCGTAATATATATGATAAAAGTCGTAATTCATTTTTCCACAGTATAAAATTATGATATACGTTGTCGCCAGCGGCGACGGAGTCACTGAGACCCATGAGACTTGAGTCTCACTTGCTTTTGTACTGATTATTGCTATTTTTATTCTTGCATCAAAGTAGGAGCAAAGAAAAGTATATTTTGGCATTTTCCAATCTTCTTTTTTATACTGACCATTTTTATTTTTGCTGAAGTTCAATAAAAAGAAGACTTATTTTCTGCTTGATGCTTTCATAAAATTCCACATTAGAAAAAAAGTATTATGAGCCTCACCTAGCTTAATGATGCTCCGCCGCCCCTGATTGCCACGCATCAAAATATGCGATCAGAAGGTTGAAAAAATACAAACTATTTTAGAATTAGAACTTCCATAAGATATCTGATTAATTTTCTACCCTAGGATATATAAGTAATTTCAGGTATGTATATTATCAGATATGAATTAATTTAAAAAAAGAGTGCTGAAATATATATCGTAAATAATTACTAATATTTATATACATATCTTATCAAAGCCAACAAAATAATCAGGTGTGATATATTATATATTATAATCATACATCGCAGTGCCTTAATACATTCTCAGGGGGGGCGTTCTTTGCAAATAAGTTTTTCGCTGAAATTCTAACAAGCGCTGCGATGTATGATTATAATTAAAGAAAATAAGGCAAATACACATTTTATATTTAATGAGTTGTTCTATGAGTATATGTTGTTCAAAATGACAAGAATTTATGTCACAGAGGCATTTTTATTTTAGGTATTTTTAATGAATGATTGAGTTGATGACCTATAAGTGATCACAATCACTCGTAGAACTAATTTAAGATTCACTATTTTTATCAAATGTATTTGAAAAAATAATAATTTAATAAGCTTTTTAATTAAATTCTTTTGTGTATAAATTTCTAAGTATCTATGCATGATATTCGCCTTTGAATTATTTATTTTCTATTGTAGTGAAGGACTACTGTTTAATCTACAATATTTTCTTGCATGAAAAGACACTGAATCCAAAAACAAAACATTTCTAATACCCAGATCAACTATTAAAGCCTATGTGTAAAGGTTAAACTGAATATTTCTATATTTGTTATTAGTTGTCTTTCAATAATTAACAAAGATCATATTTAAAAGGCTTTCCTTTTGTTTCTTTACTTTTGAGACAAATTACCTGTATGAAAAGACGAACGAAGGAACATTCCTTAGTGGTTCGCACCGTTTGATCTCATATTTTGCTGATAGGAAGGATCGAATGAGACTAGGAAAAGTCTAAAAGATATCGTGTTCTTAGACCTTTCCTTCGAAATTATGGCCGTTTTATTGAATTTTCGATCTTGGCCAAGGGATTTATAGAAAAATTGAATAAAGGAATTCTGTGCTGAAATTTTGCCTAACAATAGGTCTCATGGGTGTTAGAAAATTGTAAAACTTTCAGTTAGAACTAATGCTTTCTTTTAGAGATATTGCAGATTGAAGAAAAGTCAATTTTACGGTAATTTTTGAACCATGACCGTTTTCTTCGATCTGCAATATCTCTAAAAAAAAGCATCAGTTCTAACTGAAAGTTTTACAATTTTCTAACACCCATGAGACCTATTGTTAGACAANTTCTATAAATCCCTTGGCCAAGATCGAAAATTCAATAAAACGGCCATAATTTCGAAGGAAAGGTCTAAGAACACGATATCTTTTAGACTTTTCCTAGTCTCATTCGATCCTTCCTATCAGCAAAATATGAGATCAAACGGTGCGAACCACTAAGGAATGTTCCTTCGTTCGTCTTTTCTATGAAAATAGTAAATCTCACGAGTATGAAAAAGACAATAATATGTCGATAATGTGTAAGCTTAACATTTAAAGTTTTCTATTCCCTTTTGAATTGGCTAAATTAAAATAATGAGAAAGAGAGTCCCAATAGAGAACAAGCAGAGTTGACGGAAAAACGCATAAGTATGAATAGAAGTATCCGACAACATAAGATAGAAAAACAACTTTACATTCTTTTCTCGTCTCACTGCTAGTAGACTTTGTTTCTTTCAATGAATAGGAGAATATGCTTTTTAGTGTTAACGTCAATCAGTTGAATGAACGTATACGCGGTCTTACTAATTACACAGAAAAGGTCTTGTTATCAAATATGGAGTCTAATAACTTCCGATATTTCTGTCCGTCATACGCATTGATACATATTTGCCTTATTATTTTATCATAAATTGATAATCGGGTCCGTTTATTCAGGCGATTGATAAGTACGAAAACGACAGGATACAATCTAAGTGTAATTAGACTTCTTTTTACAAAGTAACTCACGACCAATGGAGGAGAATTTCTTTTTTAATATGAATATTAATTGGTTTTCTTCGTTCTCATTATTACTATTCTAGAATATCCTGAAGAAAATATGAACTTGTATTTACATTTTTGCTTCTAGTAGCGAAAGTAATTTTTCGATCATGACTTTGCCAATACAAAGATGCTAAATTTCGTGCCTCATGGTATTCAGCGTAGGTTTTGTTTTCTTCGTGTTATTTGCAGTGTGAATTATGGATACTTCTTATATTAATTGTACATTAATTTCCTTATTTCTCTTCCATTTTAGAATTACTAATGTTTCTATCCTCAATAATTGTTTATAGTTGTGCTTGTAAGTAATGTCAAATCGATGATGTTCGTCAAAATAAGAACTGTGACATAAAGAGGATAAGAAAAAAATTGAAGGACAAGAAAAAGAAGAAGACGAAGAAGAGAACTTCCTGTGTCTCTGTTCTCGCTCTTAAGAAAACTCTCTTGGTATTCTTTCTTCATCTGTTGTATTGTTCGATAGGAGACGAAGATAAAACATACGTTTACGTATAGAATAGAATTCAATTACAACGATAAGATTATGAACGAATGGTACTATTTTGAAACGTATAAATTCATGAACAATTGAATTCAACTGATTTCTCAATGGGTAAGTATAAAATAATTATTGAAACTATAGATGAAATATAATGCATAGTTACAGTCTCTCTAAACATTCTTATATCAAATTAGTCGCTTGTTATAGAATATGACCTGTACTGCATATCCATTGAAGATATACTGATATTCGATACTATTTTCTCTCTCCTTCAGTTAATCAACTTGAACTAAACATATTATGAATTTGATGTTACTAAAAAGATTGCTTATTTTATTTTGACCGAATATTGATATTATTTATTAGATAAATTTCTATATGTAAATTTGATATTTATTCATTAAAACTATTCGGTCATTCCTAAATACGGCAGTCATACTAAAAAAATATTCAATGCAAACACTAATACATGATAATTGATACATAAGTGAATAAACTTTTATAAATGACTTGTAATGAAAAATAAAAAGGAGCCCAAAAGGGAGAAACTATGTTAGAGAAAAAAAATATATGAGAACTCGAACAAAACTAAATCGATAGAATCTGTCACAATTGTTGTCAACAACAACAAAAAAAGCAACTATTTTACAATTAATAGCTAATCACAGAATAATTGTTTAAACCTAAATGAATCAATAAATATTTTCCTTCGTATTATTATAATAAGATCATCCCTGTTTTTTTTATTGTTGTTTATATATATATATACATATAAGCATATTCATTCCCTTTTGAAAGAGGTTTTTAAGCTCAAAACGTTTCTTTCGTTGAGAAACAATAATGAAATGTTTTGACAATATTTCTTTTTCATCTCTACCTTTAAGTATTTAAAAAACGGAAATAGAAAAAATTATCATCAGTATAGGAGAAAGAAGAAAAAAAAGCGATGTGTTTCTAAAATACTATTAATCGGAAATCTATAATTGTATTGTTTAATTTTTATTTTCAGTATATGTCATTTCAAAAGAGAAATTATAGAGAGCACAGTCTTCTTCTTTTCCAGTTCAGTTATTTGCAACATTAACGAAATCCGAAATATTTTTCTGTAATGTTAACATAATAGAATAAAAAAATCATGCCGTCTTTTCAGCTTTAATCTAAAAGACGTAGAAAAAAGAGAAAGAAAAAGAGACGGAGCAGGCAAAACGGGAAAACTATTTTTGTTGCAATCATTGTACGTCCTCAAAGTCGGCATTTATTATATGAGCGAAGATGATTTTCACACGAATAAATAAACAATAAACAGATTGACAATCATTGTAGAAACAATTTTTTTAGATGTACAAATGAGCAACATCATTGAAATTTCATCTATGCCCGTATTGGGTTTTGATCCACGTTTAGTGCGATATGGTTCGATTTTTCTTCTAATAGTTGGTACATTTGGTAATATTATTTCATTTATTATATTTATAAGTGATGCATTACGTAAATCATCAACATTTCGTTATCTAGCATTTCTTTCATTGTTGGATTTACTTGTATTATACTCGGGTTTAGTTGATTTATTTCTTACGATTGAATACGATGGAACATTTTCATTGAGAAATTTAAATCCAATAACATGTCGTTTACATACATTTGTAACATATTGGTCACAACATTCATCATCATGGATTTTATGTTTTATATCTGTTGATCGAGCAATCGCAACGAATTGTATAAAGTTTGCGAGAAAATTTTGTACACCTCGTTCAGCTGAATATATCGTGGCACTAATTTTATTGTTTACTGCTTTATTAAATTTTCATGAATTAATATTTCTTCGTTTGCAAGATGCAAATCCTATAGAATATCATGATGTTGATACAACTTTATCATCATATCGTTCGAATATTTCAATTCAAAATTCGCCTATCTCCAATGACTTTGTTATAAGTAATAAATTAGAAAGTAAACGAAGTATTCAATCAATTATTTCAATCTGTGATAAAACTCCATGGAAATTTTCATGTTTAAGACATAAACGAGATTTATTAATTTCAAACTTAACATCAAATAAACCTGCAATGGAACCAAAAATAAAAGTTCAGAAATGTGCAGCCCTTAAAGATAGTAGTTATGAATATTTTTGGGATCATGTAAGTTTGCTTTGTTTTTACTCATAAAAGAAAAGATAAAGAACTAAATCTATGAATTTAAACAGGTTTGGGAATGGTTTGATGTATGTCTTTATGCGTTTATTCCGTTTACTGTAATGAGTATAGGAACATTTCTCATAGTCTATCGTGTGTATTATCAACACCGACGTGTATTTCGTTCACGTCGTATCGGTAAGAGTAGTTCAATGGGTGCAACACCAAATAAAGCAAAAAGTTTATTCTATCTTCTATTTACACTTAACTTACTGTATTTTATTCTTGTAAGTCCAGTTGTCTTAGTTACAACTGTCTTATTTCGTAATCCAAATGAAGAACTTGCTTATCCACGTTTGAAGGCTATTATTTATCTTATGCAATATTGTAATCATTCGTTGAATTTTATTTTTTATGGTAAGTTTCTTCTAGTGGAAAGATTGTTAATTAGTTAATGACAATTATTATAATTATTTTAGGAATCACTTCACCGCCATATAGACGAACATTATATGAATGGTTTCGATTATTAATTCCACATCTACCTCAATGTTGTCAAAGAATAATTAGACAACGATCGAAGTCTATTCCAATTCAAAATAAATTCACAAAACAAAACAATCCTACTCAAGAAAGAATGAAGAATTTCGATGGTGATAGTTTAGCCAACCTGACATTAAACAATGCAACGGATAGAAATATATCGAAAGAATCTATTGCTTTAGTTCTTCGATAGTAGCGTTCTGAAATAAAAAAAAAACGTTGAATGATGTGATGCATTATTACAAATTCATTTTCTTTTCTTATGAGAGAAGAAAAAAAGAAATAAAAATGTGATTTTTGTGAAAATAATTGAGTCAACCTAGTAGAAGTATCGAATGTATGATTATAATTCTGATTTAGTGCATTATCATTACAAAGATATCGATTCAGTAGGGAAAAATGATGGGCAAACATCCATGAAAAATTTTGTTAGATTCAATAAATAAGCATGCTCATGAGATTTTATACAATAACTCGACCTACAAAAAAAATATTAATCGTGAACATTGGAAATTTTAATTGGAAAATGATTAAACCTTCTCATCAATAAATAATAATTTCTTAATGAAGACTAGAAATAAACTGCACGATTGTATCCTTATGTGTGAACCTAGACGAGATATTATTCATAGAAAATATTGCAAAAAATATTACATGATGCAACATGAAAAAAATCAAATTTGCTGCCACTGACGACATTCAAAACAAAGGCACAATAATTTTACATTTATTATTTGAGAAATAAGATGAAACCTAACTTTATTCTTGTCTTCTATAAATGTTCGTATCTTTGTTTTCGGTATTTTAATCATAGAATATGATTACACTTCTAAAGAGAAGTCAACATTTCTTAAGCTCTCTTATTACCATAAAAAGTTTAGCACTTTTCCCAATTAATCTAGACATCAAATTGAATCTACTTGTTTGAAATAATTTACGTCTGTTTAATAACTACGGAGAACTATGCTTCTAATTATATAACTACTTTAACAAGAGTCGTTTCTGTATCATAAGTGAGTAGAATACAATCGATGTTGCAAGTACTATTGTGCTTCTTAGAAAACTCACATAAGAAGAAATTCCGGAGAACAGATTATTAGAAAATATCGGAAGTAATCAAATGTATCTTGCTTCCAATCTTCTGAATAGGAATTGAGAAATTGGTCTCATAGAAAAGTCTTTTGATACTGTCCTGAAATGTCGATATTGATTTGATCAAAATATAAAATGAACAAGAAAGCTCAAGATTTTTCTCTAGCTTAAATATCAGCTACATTCAGGGTGTGCATACGTCTCAGTGGTTAACTGCTTTCATTCTTAATGTCTCCAAGAAAAAAGAATAATAAATATATATTTTTTATTCCTTTTTAAACGTCATAATAAAATATATCACAAAAAAAGATACTTTTAACAAACTCGCTTATGGAAAAACAAACGATGACTATCATCGAAGAGAAAATTACTAATTGGAAAGATAAATTTAATTTACATAAAAGTATTGCTAGCTATTTGCGGTGTAAGCCGTCACCTGGAAATTACGTCGACTCTAGCAAGAACACCGGCTGCCAGTCGTTGGCTTCAGTAAAAATCGGCTGGTGGCTTACATCTCTACTAGCGATGAGATAAACAATGTCAGGTTTTTGAAATAAATTCGTTCTATTCTAGTATGAATATTTTTTCTAACATAAAACTTCGAAAGTAATAGTAGATTAAGACAGTGATAATTCGAATAAAAAAAGAATAAATATTTTTGCAAGGTAAAATCATTATTTCAGATAGCTGTGCTTTCAAATCTTTAAGAGTCTCATTATTTTCAAGGAGTGCTTCTGTTTTAAGATAGACGTGTGTCTCTTGAGATAAGTAGACATAAGTATAAAAAAGAATTAGTTATTTTAATAAGCTATTGCTTTCTATAGTTAGCCTAATGATCTTTTGTTTTCTTTCCGTTTTATTAAAAAGTCTATCCGAATTGCATGAATGTACAGGCGGAACTCGTTGCGTTAATGAGTAACGGTAATAGCCGAAATTTTTCGGTGCTTTTTTTGCATGTTTTGTTTTAACATGAAACTTTGAAACTGCAAAAACAAAAAACATGATCTTAGAGAGTGTAACAATAAGCTACAAAAAAAACAACATATTCTTGAAAACAGATCCTTGACGTCAAGAATCAAAAATTTATTATCAAGTTCTGGCGACAGCAATGTGATTCTTCTCATTTTTCACTGAAAGATATTGAAACTTAAAAGCATGTCGAACAACAAGAGATAATTGATAATGTCACACAATAGATAGTAAACACAAGCCAGATGACGAAAAACAATTCAGGTTGAGATAGAAAACAGAGCAAGCACAACTACTGCAAGTAAAACAATTTTACTTGTACTTTCACTTGATAAAGTACGAATACAAATACTCTCGTTTAAGCTCTGGTTGAGGTTAAGATTACTTTGTGGAAAATATAGATATGATTTCGTTGCATGCTCGATAGATCGTAAGGTGAAAGTACGTTCGAACTATTTGCATCTAATATCTTGGGAAAAGCTGTATTAATTGACCTGGAAATAAGTATGACATGATAATTTTCATAATCTAACAAAAACTCCTCGCGTCATCGTGATGGTATCCTTAGAGAGTAGACTAATGAATTTCTTCAAACACAAATAAGTATTAACCTGTAATGTTTTCTGAAATTTTTGCCTAAATGTTTTATTTGTTTAAGTTTCTATAGTATACAAACATCCGAAGTATATTGACATACACTGTTTTTATAACTTTTTCAAAATAGTTTTTAATTGATGTCGAAACTTCAGAGAAATCTGAAAAAACTTTTCTACACAGTATGAGTCTTAATAAATCCTAAAACGATAACAACGAAACTGGCAAATTTCTGTTTTTATTTTCAATCATTCTAAAACCTTCCAACTTTCTTTTAGGAATAAAATCCTATAAACATACGTCGGTAGAAATCTAATAAGAAAAAAACGGAATCAATTACAAAACGAATTTTTTTTTTCTAAATAAAATTTCATCAATCACATTTCTATCGGTCATTAAAATATAAATTTTAATACAAAATAATAAAACATGATATCAATACACGATACAATACAGTAATACGTAATGGATTTTGTTTTCTAAATTCAGTCAAGTATAAAAAGAGAATGACTAAGAATTTCCTCTTCACAATATGTTCTAGGAAAATGTAGAACAGCTATTACTAAATGTTAGCATGTAAAATAAAACGTTCGAAATAAGCTGATTGACGCACCTTAAATCTGTATCAGCTTATTTTATTTTTTAATTTCACTCTGTTTATTCGTGACATCCTATCTTTTTTGTGATCTTTAATACAATTTATATCAGCCTATACCTAACACACACGAATCAGAAACAAAAAAAAAACTTCTCTGTCAAAAATAAAATACAAATGTCATCTAATTTAAGATCCTCACATTTTCGTCTATAAAATTGATTATGAGGAAGACTGATTTTAAACACCTGATTGCGAAAAATCGACTTTTAAGCTTTTAAGAAAAAACTTCATAGTCTATTTCATTTTATCTGCAGAAAAAGTCGAATCTGTGGAAAATAATTTTTCGAAACAGCTAATTGACGTTCAAAAAGTTAGTATCCGTACGAAAAAAAATCGTTATTCTCATAGATTAATCTATGAGAATAGATTTATTTCAATCAGAGTCAAGTAAAGCAAGTTAAAATTCGAGTTAGACGGAATGCAATATTTCTTTCTATCATAAATATTCAATATTATTTTAGTTCTTCTCATGATCTTCTGTAGCGCCAATAACATACTCATACTTGATGAAGTTTCGTCTATTCATTAAGTTCTTGCATAGTAAAATACTATTCATTGCTGTCGATAATATAGATTATTCTACAGAGCAACATCTCAATAGAATTTCGGTTGTGAATAATTAACGACAATGTTTGTTGACAATGTCTAGAGCCTATTTTTCTCTAGTTGTATCATGGTATTGTCGTATATGGAAATTTCTTTTTTGACAACTTTATTAATGACTTACACATCTGGAATATGAATACTCATTGTAGTTTACTACTACGAAGCAGATACAAGTACAAGCGATGCTAACTGGTAATTCTTTTTCATTTGAATGATGAGTCGCCCAAGAAAGAAAAAATAATCTTCTTATAACTAATTTATTTCAGACTTAGATTTGTACAAATATTTTGAATAAGTCTCACACATGATATCCTGGCATCGCAGCGGCTCTCTCAAAAAATATAGGAATTCCTATATAGGATAGGTCTAAAATATATAGGATCGCCCTCAACTATATAGGAAAAATATAGGATGACAAATTTATTCCAGAAAAAGATTTAGACCGAAAAATCACTGCAACAGCATTGAAGATGATAATGTGCTGTTTTTGCACGTATATCTAATCAGCTAAATAAAAATATTATTGAGTTTTGAAAAGTAATGGAGCAGCAAGATTTTCTTAAAACATAAAAAAACTAATTTATGTTCGATCTATTTTCACTATTGGACATGCATGCACTTTAGGGTGTGGGCGAGTTTCTGAACAAAATACTCACACCCACACCCACACCTTTTTGGTATTCAGTCTTTTAGAATTTCATAGTAAGCTACATCAAATTTCAAACCGTTATAACTCCTGAATGGATGCTTATTTTTCGATGAAATTTGAAATCTGTCGATGAAATTTGATGTAGCTTACTATGAAATTCTGAAAGGCGGAATACCAAAAAGGGTTAAAAACATTTGCCGGTTGGGCAAGCAAAAAAATTATTTTGTTTTCGCAAACTACAATCACAAACTTTTGACCACAAAACCTCATTACTTAGCTCCAATATGACCCCTCATAAGTTCCATCTAGGTCTCATGCACTGACGCTGAGATCTAGCATACTCAGAAATTCTGGATAAAACACTGGTATAAAGGCAACTAATGCAACGAGTATACTATATACATTACCTAGATGAACCAATAGGAAATAAGCGCCATACAAATTGTTACTGACAATATTTAAATGATGTGTTGAACACTTATCAGCAGTTTTTTAAATTTTTTTAGAAGAATCTTCAATTTTATCAAAAAAAAATAGGAATATAGGAAAAAAGCTCAAAATATAGTCTATTATAGGATAAATTTTTAAAATATAGGAAATACAGGATATATAGGACTGCTGCGAAGCCAGCTTATAGTCATTTCGATAATTTGTTTTGAAAAGATCCAGGCAGTTTCGTGACATTTGTGAATGCATTATAATAATTTCTGTGGAAAATTTTTAATGTTGATGAACGTAAAAGTATTGAATATTTGACTATCTTGAGGGTGTGTCAATATACTATTTGTTCAAAGACTTCCATCAAGCATGAGAATTAAAGATACATCAGGTAAAATAGAAAACCTTCTCGTAGATTGGATAAAGGGAATGTGAGTATTTTTTATTGTAATATTTATTGGACGGTATTCATTATTTCTATATATGTCAGACTTGAGACTTAAATTCCGTTGAAATTGAAATTTTCAACTTTCAACTTTTAAACCAATAGCATTCTGCAGAATGGTGAGTCGTCGCACAGATCGTCGCTGTCAGTTTGAAGGTTGAAAATTTCAATTTCAATTGAATTCAAGTTTGACATTACTGTTATTGATGAGCATTTTCAAAAAAAAAAGAACTTTCCCGTGATGAAAACTAAAACAATCTTATATTATATAGCAAATATTATCAGCCGAAATTATTCTCAGTACCATTTCTGTAACCGAATGATGACGAACAATGTATTAAATAAAATCAGTTTTTCGTTACTCTGCTATTGGTTAATTGTTATATTATTTGTGTTAAGTTGTAAGGCTTATTTTGAAAATTCCACAATATACTTTCATTTACCACGTTAACTTTACCTGCCGACCTCACATGATACTCTTCCTATATTCATTTAGAGAAATTTCTGATTAATGTTTATAGGTTTATTATAATTTTTTTCTCCGTAATAAAATAAAATTTCACTGATTTACAGTCTTTAATTTCGGTTAGTAGAAATAAAAATTTTAGTAATCTTTGCATTTTTGCAGGTTGTCAACGCAAAAAAGCAAGCCTTTCAGAAATATATTCGACTTTTATTCCTCTACATTGATGCTTAAAGGATATTTCGCTGTCTATTGAGTACCGCAACGTCCAATAGAATTGCTTATCACGATAAGAGTCTAAGCACTAAAAATATGTTTTTACTATTTAGTTACTCTTTTGTAAAGATTAAACTTGATCCATGTCAGCGGATGATAATATTCCGTTTGTTATAAATTTGAAGGAACAACATGCTACTGAATTAGAAGTAGTAGGTGGAAAAGGAGCAAATTTAGCAATTTTATTTCAACGAGGATTTTCTGTTCCCGATGCATTCATTGTCACCACTCACGCATTTCAATATGTACTCAACAATCAACAAACAAAAGATGTTCTATTGATCATTGATACACTCGATGTTGAGAACATAAATCAATTAGAAAATGCTAGTAATACTATTAAAGCAACCATTTGTGATATATGTTTACCGAGTGATATGATTGATTTAATCATCAACAATTATAATCATTTGTGTGAGAAGAATGCTACGATGAATATGCATGTTGCTGTAAGAAGTAGTGCAACAGCTGAAGATTTACCTGATAATTCATTTGCTGGACAACAAGATACATATTTACATGTCACAAAAGAAAATTTAATTGAGAAAGTGAAAGAATGCTGGGCATCATTATTTACAGCTCGAGCAATATCCTATCGAAAAAAGTCTAATATTGATCATAAAATTGTAAAACTTGCTGTTGTTATTCAACAGATGATTTTCAGTGAAGTATCTGGTGTTGCATTTACTGCAAATCCAATAACAGGACTACGAAATGAAGTTGTTATTGATTCAACATATGGATTAGGTGAAGCTTTAGTATCGGGTCTTGTTACACCAGATCATTATGAAATATTGATTGATAGAAATGAAAATGTTGAAATTCGTTTAAAAAAGATTGGCGAGAAAAGTATTCGTATTATTGGTAAATCAGATGGTGGCACTGAAACATTAGAAACAATCGATAATGATAAGAAAGTCGAAGCTTTATCGGATGAATATATTATTGAACTTGCTAAATTAGCTAAACAAGTAGAAAAAAGTTATAATAATCAACCGCTAGATTTAGAATGGGGATTTACGAATGGTAAACTATATATTTTACAAGCAAGACCAATAACAACTTTATTTCCAATACCAAAACCTGCTCATGGTCAATCGGGCTTACGATGCATGATATCGTTCGGAACGGCTCAAGGATTTCTCGAACCGATGACACCACTAGGTCAAAGTGTGATACGTACTGTACTTTCTAACATTTTAAGAAAAATCGGTATCAATCGAAATTGTTCCTTTCAAGATAACAAGTCTTCAGATCCGTTACGACATCATCTATTCAAATCAGCAGCGAACCGTCTTTGGATTGATATTACTGGTGTATTAACACCACCAGCATCGAAATTCTTTGGTTTGTCTATGATTGACACAGGAATCGGGAAAATTATAAGTTATTTAATGCGTTCCAAGACTTTTCCGTCACGATCAATATTATCATCATTAAAAACATGTGTATTTATGTTTTCATTTTTCATTCCTTTGATTTTAAAAGCAATACGAAATTTCTTATTTCCCCGATATGGAAAACAATTATTTATGAATCAAATGGAAAAGTATCATCAGTTTATCGATGAAGGTTTTCAAGATGAAAAAAATCAAAGTTTTATCGGCTATGTTGATCACTTTCAAAATATTCTGCTCGTGTTGCCGTCAACTATAGTGAAATACGCTGTGCCGAGTCTCATTCCTAGCATTCTATCTTTAAGGATTCTACAAAAAATAGCAAAAGACCCTATGGATGCTCTTGCACTGACGCGTGCTGTTGAATCTAACCCGACTACAGAAATGAATTTGATGTTATGGAAAGTAACTGTATTAATCAGAGATGATCAAACAACGTTAAGCTTATTTGAAAATGAAACAATCTTTAGTTTAGCTGATATGTATAAGCAGAAATCTTTTAAATTAGATATTCAATTAGAAATGGAAGAATTTTTTCGAACGTACGGTTGTCGTGGTATTGGAGAAGTTGATATGGGTCGTAAACGATGGTCAGATGAACCACAGCTCATTATGGATCAATTTAAAAATTATTTAAAAATTCGTAATCCTGATAAAGCGATTACTACAATTCATGATCGAAGTAAACAAAGTGCGTATGAAGCATTTTCAAAGATTGAAAGTGAATTAAGGTGGCCACTAATTCAACGACCGCTGATCAATTTACTTTTCTCTCGATTAAAGATTCTATTTTCATTAAGAGAATGCCCAAAATTCAGTGGACTTATTCAAACATTTGCTAAATGTCGTCAAGCACTCTTGAATAAAGCTCAAGAAGCAGTTAATGAAAATTTAATTTCAAATGCTGATGATATTTTTTTCCTACATATTGATGAATTAAAATTATTAGCTTTGAATACGGATAATAAACAATATGAGAAAGTAAATTATTGGAAACATTTAATTTCACAACGTCGAATCGCATATAATAAACAAATGTCTTGTAAACGAGTTCCATTAGTATTACTTTCTGATGGAACAACTTATTATGATGCAACAACAATACCGGACGAAAATAATAATCAAACTGAATTAATGGAAGGTGAATATGCTGGTAGTCCAGTATCGCCTGGTCTATATGAGGGCAAAGTACGAATAGTGGATGATCCATTGAATTCTGAATTACAACCTGGCGAAATCTTAGTTTGTACAGCGACTGATCCAGCATGGACATCACTTTTTCCGATAGTTGGTGCCCTGGTACTGGAAATGGGTGGGATGCTTCAACATGGTGCTATAGTTTCAAGAGAATATGGTTTACCAGCTGTTGTTGGTGTTGCTGATGCAAAGAAATTATTTCATAACGGTCAATTAATTCAAGTGAACGGATCAACTGGACGCATTAAAGTTTTATCTGATTGATAATTTTTATTTTATTTTTTTAAAACCCATTTGACAGTATATTTATTCAAAAACTGACTAGTATGCTACTATATTTCATAAAGTGAATTGAAAAAAGTCAAGCAATTTAAATTGCATACAATTAAAGATACTCTTGAATAATCTAATGAATATATATGAGACTACTTTTTCAAAAGTCTAAGTCTATAGAATAATATTGGGGTACTGGTTGATACTTACAACATCTAGAATTGAGTCGATCTACTATAGCAACGAAAATAAGAATTAGTAGTCGGCATTGTACTACTCATCCATGTTCAGTTTCAATCAATATATCAAATTGAGAAATATCATTACAAAATCTGATTGTTTTTTTTATTTTGATGCTTTTACTTGGAAACTTATTATTTTCATCTAATTCGTGTCACAGTTTCACATTGACTGTCACTGTTTATTGATCCCTTTCTATATGTGTGGTTTTTACAATTTTTACACGAATGCACAAGAATGGATTTTTCTTTCTGTTGAATTATAATCACTACGAACGAGAAAAACAAGTGAAATGCTAAAGACTGCTTTAAATTGTTGATGTCTCATTCTATTTAGAGTAATTCGAATTGAGAAGAAAACCTTGACATAAAAAATTGACGCCTCGAAATCTCAACCAATTAACCTAAATAAAGCTTTTGGAAACGAGTTTCTAGTATAATATAATTTGTATAAATCTCTGTTGATCATGAAAAATAATACGCATACACAAGTCAATAATTCTTTTGAAATACAGCTGTTTTTCAGATGGGAATTTAAAGATGAAAAACCTGAGAACAAAAATACAGTGCCAAAAATCTATCTAAATTAGAGAAATAATAAATGGAGAGACTATCAATCTTATATTATCATCCTTTAGCTTTCATTTATTTGAATCTAAATGTGTAACTATGAAAATTGATTTCAAATAATTTGAAATGTAGCGAACTATATCGTGTTGCTTGTTTTTTTGTATCGTGGAACAGTTCAAAATGTCTCTAATCAAATAGTATTCAATTTCAATCGGTGCATACTAAGAGTTGAATTTATTTTTCTTTCTGTCATCACTACTTCTATTGGTTGTTTCACTGTTGCGCTGTGCAGTCGTTTCTATTCGAAGTACAAGCAAGAAAAAATTGTAAAACGAAAAAAGAAAGAAAAAAAAATGGTACATAACACAACATAAGCAGTGGGATTTTTTCTAAAAACAACAACATATAATCGATTTTATACATTTTGTTGCGGTGAGTATATTATTTGTAAGATTGAAAGTTAATGCCGCGGTATTTATGCTCGCCTATCTTCTTATTCTTCCACACTCAATTTATAGGCAAGATTCCTAAAGAAACATGTTAAAACTCATTAAGATTTCATGAAAACGCAGTTTTAACGACAGATTATTGTTAAAATGTCACTATTAAGAAATTTAAAACACTAAAATGCGTCACCCATTATAGAAAGTGGGTGTGGATATATATGAAGAATATTTAAACTCACACCCACACCCCAAATTCAGAACAAGAGTAAATAGCTTCACATCCTAAACAGGAATGAAAAAACCTCGAAAGAACAAGATGATGATATTGCAGTATTACAATTGAGTCTTGATGATCGTACTTTCAATGATGAATGACGTGGTGAACACTAGGGGTGGTACGTTTACGTTAATTTAAAATTAGCATTAACTAAAAGCGTTAACCGTTAATATTAACGAATTAACGTTTTGAGCAAAACCGCTAACCATTTTAGTTAATTAACGCCGTTACAGCGGCGTAACCAGAGGGGAGGCAAATGGGCAAGTACCCATTTCATTTTGAGCCTTGCTCATTGTAATTTTCATTAGTTAATTTTTGCCCATTCGAATTTTACTTTTTCACAATTATTTACTTTTGAATAAACTAGCTACTTTCTTTTTTTCTTTCGTTTGAATCGCATATGTACCCTTTACTGGTTCTTATGAAGAATTAATATAAGAAAACAGAACAAAAACAAATGAATAATGCACAATTGTACATACATATCTATATGTATACTTGTTCTTTTCTTTTATCTTCTTTCAAAATGCTGACATGAGAGAAAACGATTGAACTATAATCTATCTCGTCCAGTTTACTGTCTTGTCTCTTCTTTCGCACTACTATATTATAAGAAAAGTCTAAAGAAAAAAAGAAAAAGAACAAATATGCTTATATAAAATTGCGCACTTACACTTATAATTTTGTTGTTCTCTTTTGTCCTGCTTTAAAGAACTAATACTAAGCCATGCCAACTGGAAAACGATCCAATTCACAATGGCGGATCCAGAAAATCAGTAGGGGGGGGGGGTGGTGGTACTCCCGGTTAAAAAGTGTTTTTTGAAGCCTATCCGAGGCAATACGACTCTTTTCTGTTTCATTCCTGCTGGGAAAAGTCGAAAAAATTTAATGAAGGGTGTGGCCCTCGCTGGTTAGCTGTAATGGTAGATCCGCCAGTGGCAATTCGTTATTACGCTATCACTTTTCTTCCAAATATTGAAATTTTATGTAAAAATATACAGTAGTCGTTTTGATTTTGGTCAGGGTTTCCAGCCGTACCTGACTTGGGGGTACAGTACCCCATTTGAGCCTTTTGTACCTCAAAACAAATTTTACCTCTGAGGTACGCATTTTGTACCCCATCTGCATTTTTCAACGTTACGACTGCTATCATCCATATTTTGATTGAAACTAAGAAAATTTCTGCCTGTTTATCCGACATTTACTATTGATAAAGATATGAAGAATTCAACAATGACATATGCAACGAGTTCCATGATGAAGATAATCTCATTCACAAACCGACGACCGAAAATTATGAAAGAGAAGTGGAATTTCAGTCTGATCAATTTTGGGCTTTTCTTCTTGTAAAACCGAAACCAATGTGCACTGAAATGTACAAAATTATTTCTTATGTGTACTCAATTCCTTGCTCGAGTGCATTTGTTGAAGGCGTTTTTAATCAAAGAAAAAGCGTATGGACAGCTAGTCGCAATCTGACGGTGAATGAAACGATAGCTACTGAATTGAAAATCAGATTTAATAGCACTATGACATGTGAAGATTTTTTTCTGTTGCTCAAACACAACCGCAACTGATAAAGTGTGCCAAAAGTCAACAAAAATACAGTTTCGAAAAAAAGCGTGCAACAGTTAGTGTAAATATAAATCGAGAAGATTCGCTTTGAGTAAACATTGTTTTATTATGATTGAATTGAATATATGTATGTCAAAATGAAATTTTATTGTGAACACATTTATTAGAAAATAAAAATTTCAATTTGAAAGCGAGGTTTTATAGTAAAACAAAAAACTGAGAATGCCCTTTCCTGATTGAAAATAGTTTTCGAACTTGATTTCCGCAGCCGATGACCAGTGTGAAAGATATAAACTGCGTACCTCACGAATGTACCCCATTTGGGACCTGAACAGCTGGCAACCCTGATTTTGGTGTTTAAATTTCAAAACCAAATGTTATAAACAGAGACTGATGATAGAATAAAATATGTCTAACTCAGCAAGTCTGACGCAAGCTTAAAATCTGAGATTCTTTTCCTATATATTAGGTTAAAAGAATCTCATGTTTTTTTGGTGTTTTTTCTACGTTATCAATGCTTTGCTGGGTTAACAAAATTTTGGCCTATCAATAAAAATCTTGCCAGTTTTGCCCATGGCTGTTTTTTGACTTAATAGACGTTTGCCCAATGGTCTAAAAATCCTGGTTACGCCATTGCGCCGTTAATTAACTCGCATTAAATTAAATGGTCCACCCCTAGTGAACACAGGGGCCGCGCGAAGGACCTAAGATTGGGGGGGGGGTTTAATGGGCTATTTTCAACAAAGTTTAGCAAAAACAGCGAAAAAGTACAGAAAATTTGCCCCTGTTGGTGGAAAAAATTGAAAATTTTCAATTATTGAGGGGTTTACACCTACCCCGCTTGCGCAGCCCCTAAGTGAACAACAAATTAATTTATACAATTTTTTAATAGATATTTGTTTCTTTTTGCTAATTATATGAAATAAGAAACTGTTACATCCATACATTTTAGTAAACAAAATAGGATTAACAGATCTTCGGAAGCGGCAAATTTTCTATATAATTCCCGTTTCCCTTCTCTTTTCCTGGAATTTCCAAGAGAAGTCTCATTCTCGATTCCCGTGGGAAACGAGACCGGAAAATATGGAAAAAAATCGTTCCCACAGGGCCCTACCACGCCCATACCTACATCCTCACATCCGCATATTCATATCCGCACCCTCGTGTATGATAAAAAGTAAAAAATTCAACAAGAAGAATTTGAAAGTACCTGTCTAGGACATACATAGTATATCTATTGTAGAATATCATACGAAAACGAAAATAAGAATGAATCGATTTACAGAATTCGAACTTGAAACCCACGAATTAAAACCTATTGCTGGTTATTGGACTTACGATCTTGTTTCGCTTGAAGAATCGTTAAAGGGTTTCTTGTCAAAAATCAATGAACTTAAACGTTCTATCAAAGAAGCCAAAAAACATTGCACGAAATCATCACCGCATAATCTCACGCCGGATGAGTCGGCTGCATTGTTTCTGTATACCATGGAAGCAGGTGATCATAGTTTCTATCGCATTTTAAACCAAGTACTAAGAAAAGAAAATCGAAATGAAGTAATACCATGGTTTAGCTATCTCAAGTTATTCGATACGGCACTTTGTAAATTGCCAAAAGGAAAAGGAATTATTTGGCGTGCCGTAGCTGGTAACGTCACCAGTGGCTATACAGCAAATAAAACAGTGACTTGGTGGGCTGTAAGTTCTTGCTCGACATCAGCCGATGTTGTCAAGGCTTTTCTGAAACCTGATCAAGAAGGAACACTCTTCATGATCGAAGCCGTCGCTGCAAGAGACCTGGCTGGCTATACAATGTATCCCAATGAACATGAAGTTATATTGAAATTCGGCACTCAGTTACTGGTGAAAAATATTGGATTTCAACATGGTAATTTACGTTTAGTGCATCTGGTAGAAATTAATGATGATGACGATGACGATGAGGATAATAATAATAGTCAACAAGGATTAGCAGCAGCGATGGCATCAGTACATGTAACACCGAAGTCAACGAAACCGACCAATAATAAACCAACACATCGTGAGTTGCTTCTCTGTTTCTGTCTTTCTTTCTTTTTATTGAATTTTACTCGATTAAAGATTTGATTTTATTGATTGTGGAGTTAGTGCTTATAGTCTTGTGTTTTACGCTTTTTAATGCGTAGAGAAATCATTTACATTTTAAAATATCATTTGTTACATGCACACTGCGAACAACACAAACTAATTCAGAACACATGATGTGAACCTTACCTCTTCAATTTTCGTATTTTGATTTGTAATGAAGATGATAGAAAAGTAAAAGCGAAAGAAAACAAATTTTCACTTTCATCGAGTGTGTGCGGGGACTTTGATGAACGAGAAGGTCAAAACCCACACCCCACACCCCACATCCCACACTTTTTGTTTTTACTTTCATTGTTATGTGATGTTAAGTGTTTGCAGCCTATGTCATTGCAAAGACAAAGCTCGGCAGAGATGGAGCAGATATTTAGCGAAGAGTTATTTCTATATATTTCTAATAGAACACTAATATTGAGGGCGTCCCTACCACATTCGAAATTAAAATGATAGAATGGAAGATTTTTTTTCCAGTGATTTTCAATGCTTTCATCAAAACAGATTTTAAGCAATCTTTTTATTTCTTACATCATTATTTAAAAATTGATGGAAAATCAATAATTTCTTAAAAATAACTCATCTTAAGTGAGGAAAAAAGACTTACCCATTAGTCGATTACCTTTCAGCTAGTGAATCAGGCTGTTACTTTTTTTGACTAGATAAAAAATCGTTCAATCGATAGAGTTCTATGTGAATATGTTGGCAAGCTTGTATAGAAATGTCTCTGCATGATCAATGATAATATGGCTGCTTAAAGTGTATAGTTGAAAATTGGATAAGCAGCTGTTCAAAAGAAACATTTCTTTTTCTCAATTCTTGAATGCAGTACAAGAAGTAAATCTACAAGATTATGAAAGATACGTGTGTAGAATGTTGATTTTCGATTGAGTTGAAGTTACAGAAAGACAAAACCCTATTTCTATAAAGAATGAAAGCTATACACAGACAATTCGGTTCTTTTTTAAACTTGTTTGTTTTCTCTCTTTTGCTTTCGCGACATATATCTTTGCCATCAATCTTTTTTTTTATTCACTAATCTCACCGATAGAAAATCAGGCAATATTCCACTAAAATACTCAAATTAAACAAATTACAGATGTTTCAAGACTTTCTTATTGCGTTCTCTTACGTTATATTGATGAATTTTCACGATAACTACTTGATTGTTAAAATATTGATCCTTATTAGCACCGGCAACTAGAAAAATGAAGTCCTAAACCTTATCATAACGTTGTAATCCTGTTAGTGTAGAGTGACCTTGAAATTTCATCTTTTTTTCGAGCTTCACACCGCATTTTGTATTCGAGTTTCACTCTGATACCACGTCTACAGATTTTAATAGAACTATTTGTCGTTAGATAAAAGAACTCAAACTACTTTTAGTAGAAGAAAAATTTTAAAAAAGAATTAAGCTCTTTTAGCGATCTGCATGAAAGAAATGTTTTTTTTAAGCAAGTAGGACGTATTTTCTGCCTGGCAACATGTGCAAGTTTGTTTTTCTTCTTCTTAACACAGCTGTCAATGTGTCTCTATAACATTGTACTATGAAACGAACTGTAACATCGTAAAGATAATAAAGTAACACTTCTAGAAATTTTGAATTTCATACAACTTTTTTGACTTTTCTCCTTCAATTGAGAATTTATTCTATAGAATAGAATCGCTCTAATAGAATCCTTAGAATTTTACTATTCGTTTCTCCATAACGTTTATTTAGTAAGAATCTTTCAGTAGAATTTTCCCTATATCTATTAAATTATTAGTAAAGATTTCTCTAGAGTAATTTTTCCAACATTGCCACTTCAGATAGAGATTTCCTTTTTTTTTCGTTTTCATGTAGTTAAAACTTCTGCTAAGATAACAGTTACTTTTCCATGAATACCAATAGATATGAATGTGACAGTAAATGATCATCTCAACTTAATACTATAGTCTAAAACTTTTGACACACATGATTTTTCATCACACTATTGATTCTGATAGAACTTGAAATTTTCGATTGCCTTGTTTTATCTATATGCTGAAGAATAAATTTCGAATCTTACGTTGATATAATCTCCTAAATATAGTATAAGAAAAAGTGTCTTTGAAAGCGTACGTGTCAATATAATATTCAAATATATTCTTCGGGAATACAAAATAATTAATAATATATATATATATATATATGTGAGATGATAGAAAACTCTCGAAAATGTCTTCATTGCCAGTGCATTCAAACTATTTTGTTTATACATTATTCTACGTAAATTCAAATTCCATCTGCTTTCAGAATACTTAATATATATTTTTGTATAATTCTTTAAATCTTCGTCGAAGAGAATTTTCTTTCTACAGAATAATCTTCCAATATAATAAGAAAAGCTTTTTCAGTGGGGGAGAATCTTCTTCTATTTCGATTAAGATCTATATGAAATGAGTTGTTTTTACGGTTTCTTTTAGTTAATATGCATGCTAACACACAGAATAATTTTTCTACACTGTAAACTAGAAAATAATTTATAGAGTAAAATAAAAAGTGTTCTATAAAGAAGAACATCATTAATAAGAAAAATATGAAAGTATATAGGAATATAATTTAACACATAGTAAAGAAAATATCCTTTTAGGGTTCAATTAAGAGAACAAAAAAAGTGTAATAAAAAATAATTTAAAGATTTAAAAGTATTTTCTTCATAGGAAAAGACGTAAAATCTGATACTCAAGTTTAAAGATAAAAATACTACATAATAGTCGATAATATATCTGTGCCACGAAGTATGCCGTTACTCATAAAGGACTAGATTGAGTAGGGGGTTATAGAAACCGCCGGACCTCCACTTATAAATCATAGGGCGAATGAACATATTGCAGTGACGTGATTAAGTTTACATTACTAATATACACCCTTGCATATAACAACGCATAGTCGCGTACTGAACAGTACGTAATCTTTCTGTGTATCTTTTCTCTCTCTCTCTCTCTCTCTCTCTCTCTCTAGTATATAAGCTTGTACGAGAAAAGAGTTATTAGAACGTAATTGGAAAATAGTTAGACTTGACTTGTATTGACAAACATACACGTATTATTATCAGCGCGATATTGCTATCTTGTTTTAATGTAAACTCATTATTAAATAAATTATTACAAGTTGGTGTTGTCCAAAAATTCTTGGCTGCACCACTTACAAGATTCGATAATTTGACATCGATTAATTATCTCGATATATATCCGCAATTCTATATATCTGGATACTCGTTCCCTATCCATGCGAAATATTAGAATCAAGTTGTCGCTGCTAAACAACATTTTACATACTACATGCCCTTTGCATGTCATTTTTGATCGCTTAATATAAGATACGTTCTACAAATATCACTCTTATATAATTTAGCTGAATAATTTTCACAGAAAAAAAATAGAGTTCATCACTTGCAACTCCGATGAATGACGATGGATGTAAACTAACTTTCTTGAGAAGTTGAAAATAGATATCCAATCGTTGCTGAGGACCTCAAAAATTGCACCCTTTTTAATGTCTGCTTCGGTTAACAAAACAAAAGAAAAGACAATAATGTAATTATATGTTCCTGCATAATTATTTAAGTTTGATTTTCTACAAAATAGAATTTAAATACGTTTGAGAGAGAGAGAGCGATATGCTATATGTGTGATTGATCACACAATTACTATAGCGCAATTCTGTCGAAGAATTCTTTTAATATAACTTTTTCATTCATTTTTATCGAGTTTTCTGCTGACATATAGACTTATCACCGTCATAAGAGAATTTCATTTCCATAGAATAATCTTTTAATATAGAAAAAACTCTTTCTGGCGCGGAATATTTTTGAATTTCTAAAAAAGTGATCAATTCAAAGAATTTTGTTCGATACTTTTGAAATTATTTTATATGCTAGCTATTCGAGAGAGAGAGAAAGAGTAGTTCTTTTTGTAATAATGCAATCACTTCAGCGATAGAGAGATATCTCCTTTTATTCTTATGTCTTCTCTTCTAGTTAATATTCCTGCTAATGCTAAATGGACACAGAACGGAGTGGCGATTGCTGGAGGTAACGGGAGAGGCGATGCCACTAATCAGCTCAACTGTCCTCATGGCCTTTGCGTTGGTGATGATCAAACAGTGGTTATTGCTGACACGCACAATCATCGTATTATTCAATGGAAGAACTGTGATACAACGAGTGGGCAAGTTGTTGCTGGTGGCAACGGCGAAGGAAGCGGATTGAATCAACTGAATCGGCCAACTCATGTGTTAATTGACAAAGAGACGGATAGTCTCATTATTTGTGATCGAGGGAATTTACGAGTTGCACAATGGTCTCGTCGTAGTGGCACAACACAAGGAGAAATACTCATTCATAACATCGATTGCTATGGATTAGCAATGGATGAACAGAGATATCTCTACGTCTCTGACACCGAAAAAAATGAAGTAAGACGATATCAATTGGGTGAGAAGAATGGCGCTCTTGTAGCTGGTGGTAATGGCGCTGGTGTAGGTCTCAATGAACTCGACTGGCCGAGATATCTATTTGTCGATCAACAACAAAATGTCTATGTATCAGACTGGAACAATCATCGTGTAATGAAATGGAATAAAGATGCAAAAGAAAGTATTGTGGTCGCTGGAGGACAAGGCGAAGGGAATGCTGTCACACAGTTGTCTTATCCTAATGGCCTCTTCGTTGATATGTTGGGTACACTCTATGTAGTAGACTCGTGGAATCATCGTGTAATGCGTTGGACTCAACGAGACAAGAAACAAGGCACTATAATTGTGGGTGGAAATTGTAAAGGAGAAGGAGCAAATCAGTTCAGCGGCCCCATTGGTTTGTCTTTCGATCGACATGGTAATCTCTATGTCGTCGATCGTGATAATAATCGTGTTCAACGATTTTCTATGGAATAAGACTTGTGAATTGTTTTTTCTTTGTTCGTTTCTTTTTCTATACTTTGAAATAAATGAACGAAAAAAGAAATTTTCTTTTACTGTCTCTTTCTCTTCAAAGAAAAGAAAAAAGCTAAAATATAAGATTACATCATATGTTTCTTTTCTTCTTTTTTTATTTATTTGTTAAATGGCAAAAGAATGAATTAAATAAAAGAAGTTGTATTTTTTACAAAATATTTATTACTGAAATGAAAAGAAAAAGATTTGTATTATTTTCGTAAAATATTTATGATTTAAATGAAAATAAAACTTTTGTGTTATTTTGAAATGATTTATTAGTAAAACGAAATTATTTATTAGTGAAATGAAAAAACAAAATTGGTGTTATTTAAAAATATTTATTAATAAAAATAAAAAACAAAAAAGTTACAAAAAAATAAAGAACTACAAGAAAAAAACTTAAAAAAAATACATGTAACTATTTTTGTTTTCATTTAATTGTTTCGTGAATGCAACTAAAACATAAAAAGAACAATTAATTTTATTGTTTGGAATAAGATAATGAAGAAGAGAAAATGTAATTACTTTATGTTTGTGTTATTTCATTTGAAGTGAAACTAGAAGAATAGAAAAGAATGAAAAGTAATTTATACTTCCCAGGTCGTGGACGTACGGCGGAAAACGGCCGGAAAGCACAGGAAAGCGCTGGAAAGTGGATGCAGTATTCCAGTTGGAAGTTACCGGACTTTCTTCCTGTAGATTCCGATCAACTTCCAGATGTAAAACACAGAAAACTGACCGGAAAACACAGGAAACTGACCGGAAAACACAGGAAACTGACCGGAAAACACAGGAAACTGACCGGAATCCACAGGAAAAAAATCCGGTAACTTCCAACTGGAATACTGCTTCCAGTTTCCAGTGCTTTCCCGTGCTTTCCGGCCAGATACGGTGATTTTTCCGCATCTTTCCGGCCTGTTCCTACAGTATCCGTCCTCCGGAATCACTGACCTGGGATTACTTTGCAGTGGATGAAATCGAGATGAACTAAAACGAAATAAGAAAAGACGATTGAAATGAATTGATTGGAATAAAAAATGTTTTTTTTTGCTTACCAGTTAATAGTTGCTCGCGTGACCAAGAACTACTTTGGTGGTGCCGTAGAGAGCCGAGGCTCTTCACGTAGAGCCATAGAACTAACGCGTATAGAACATACAGCAGATAGAATATATATAGCGGCCTGTACGTGCTACGGACACCAAGATAGCCTTTGTCAGTTTCTCGCCGATGTATGGAAGGCTTCCGTAGGACGTATTAAAAATATATAAAAATAATACTTACTCTTTCTATATTACTAAAATAGAAAAGAAAAATAAAACTTTAACTAAAATTAAAATATAAAAACAATTATTATCAAATAAAATTAAAAGAATAATAAACAAATGGGGTAAAAAGCTGAGACAACGAAAAATTTTTTTTAATTAAAACTATTACTTACCTGTGATATTGATAATGGTAAGTATGAATATAAGCTAACATAGTTAAAAAATAAAATATACATATAATATAATAATGTAAGAAGAAGAAGAAGAACAAGAAGACAGGGGAATGATTTCTAACATTGAAATAATTATTATTTATAGTCATTTTTGTCGTTCGTGATAACTAGACAATTGGTAAGCAATCGAGATCAATTAATTTCATTTCTATTTGTAAAATTAACATCACGCTCACTACATATAGTGTTATTTGTTGGTTTGGATCGATTTCTATGGAATCGATCGTAAAAATAGCAAGTATTCCTAAGAATGACAAAACCAAATCTTGTCGTATTGACTATACCGCTAATTTATCTATTATGTTCTTCTTCACCTTCACAAAATGAAGGAGGATAAACCAATTCAACAACATCAAATGGTTATCGAAATCCATCACAATGACAATTTTCTATCGTTTTAGTATCTTCTAACATCATTATATTATCGAACAATGAATGCAGGAAAACAAAAAAACAGGTCTTTCTTATAGTTAATTTTCTTTATTTTCTAGTTTAAATATTATTCTACTGTTTATATTCATGAATTAAACAACAATTAACAATCGGTTATACATTTAAACGTCGAACAATCTTCATCTTCGTCAATCAAAATTATTAGTATCAAATGAATATTCCAATACTTTTATCACAATTACAATTAGAAAAATAAATTTATGCTTAATCCAAAACAATTCTTTATCTATTAGTGTTATGCAAATAAGATGGGTCCACTGGGTTAATGTACTTTTATTTAGTGTTCGAAAAACATATTATTGTCAATGTGCTAGTTATCTCCTAATAATTACTCATAAGACTTGATGATTGTAATGTTTCTATAGTTCTATTTTAGGTTGCAAGTTTTCTTCGTGTTTATACAATATTCACAGATCGTAAACCAGCACTTGAACAAATGACAATGATTTTACCTGATACATTATTTCTTTATCATTCTGGTTAGATGGATTATACTTCAACTGTTCCATTTTGTACAAAAATAATTCGATTATTAATACAATATAAATTTCATTTCTTTTTATAATCACTCATCATAAAGTTTATTTTCAACTTCCAATGCGTGTACGAATTCAAACATCAACATTATCGATAGTAACTACTACGGTATTGAATCGCCCTGATCCATTAGGAGAACTGATTGTTCAACAAAAATTTCGATTTGTTTCGAACACATTATAGCAATGATCGACAACTAACTAGATCAAGATATGGACACAAAATTATTTGATATGGTCAACAAGCCGAGTAAGTTTTAGTTTATACAATAAAGAATTTATTCTTGTTTCTTTCTTGTTTCGTTAAAATTTTAGATTTCAACGTCGTATGATATTAAATGAAAATGATCGAAAATATTTTTTATTAACATATATGCGACAAACAATTTCGTCTTGAATCACATGATAATGTTCATTTAATCGCTTGTAATCAATTGGAAGCAATACTTGATTAGAGTAAGGATTGATTCATTTTAGGATGATTTTAAGTAGTTTAGATATTTAAAAGTAGTTCGACCATCATCATCTCCAGATGAAAAACTTCTTCAATAAGTATTCGAACTTCTTTAACAAATCTTCTATGGTTTACATCTAGATTTTTTTAGAGATTTATTGACAAGATTAATTTCGATTTCTATCATCATTTTTATTCTCATTCAAATGTATCACCGCAATTTTTTACGGATAAACTTTTTGCAAGTATGTTTTGAATTATATTCGACAAAGTAGTCTAAACATATATTTTCGAAATTAACATTGATAACTGGTACAATGGATGTTTTACATCATATTACAATAAATGACTGATCGATCGATTGCTGTATGCAACTTTATAAGATTTAACATACAAGTTTTAATACAACCATCATCTCAAACTTTGCTAAATGTAATATTAGCAATGGAAAGTACGATTTCAATATCAAATCATCGACAAGAAATGGTGAATGTATACATGTTGCGACGACGAAACTGTGCGGATTGTTGAAAACAACGATCTACCAGAATAATACTGTTTAATAAATGAATTTATCAAGAGCTACTGTTAAGAAGTATGTGGCACACTGCCTGGTGATTCTCTTTTTCTCAATAAGAGATGATGCCTACCCAGGTCGAGCATTACGATGGCTAGATACGGTCGTATATTGCAGTGTCGTACATGACAGAACACAGCGACTGTTTAGAAGCCATATCCGATCGTATACGGCCTTATAGTAAACAGGGAGCGACCAAGCACTGCAACGCATACAACCGTAACAACATCATAACCAACCGTTTACGGCCGTAATTCTGAACAAAAAGAAAAATACATGCATAAACCCCTTCGATCGATAGTGAGCCCAGCAAAGACATTAATTCTACTACATTTCCATAGAAATCACACTAAAAACTGCAAGCAGCCAAAAATCCTACCCCAAATCACAGAAATCATACTTCCAACAGATTTTTTCGGAGCACTGCCTATACCCTAAATCTACCGAGAGCACCCAAAGCTAACTCCCTATGATTTTCCGTGCATCAAACAGTGAAAATCATGACAGATCTAACAAAATACAAAAAGGCACCGAACAAATCCTGCTAAAATCACCTTTTGAAGGAAGCATCGTAGAGAATCCTGGAAAGCAGCATTCGTAGGAGAGCATCAAGAGATCCGTATTTGGTGATTTCGGTTCCATCCTGCAGCAGGGATCATGAGGAATCTGAAAAAATAAAAAGCATCAAAGAAATCCTGCTATAATCAATGTTTTCCGTATATAATTCATCGAAAAGAGGTAATAATTTGCGGCAATGATATTTGGCATCAATAATAATAAGTGCTTATGGCGTTATTTACGATTAATCATATAATATCGAGAATAATAAATCTTTAAATGATGAATATTTCTCAAAGACAGACAGGACAATTGGTTAAATGGAAATCTTCAAAAATCATTGGTTGTTGTTACTTTCAGTGAAGATCATGACAAAAAATACAAAAAATCTGATATAGGGTAACACAAGTAATAGCACGCATGGAAATTGCTGATAAAAATTAGAAGAATCACTAAAATCTCCTTGATGTTTGTTACGAAATTGGATCTTTCCGATCGTAGAAAAAGGTTTAAAGATTTTTTTTTCTTATTTTACTGGATTTATTCAGTAGGGTTCAACAGGAATTCGATATAGAAATATGTTCAATATAGAACGACTTCAAAGTTTAACTCGGTTGTAAGGAAAAACGATGTTTTTGTTCGATTTATTGCGAAAGGTCAAGTGGGATTTCCGAGTCTTTGTGACATATGGAACCAATGTATTCTGGTGTTTTCAGTGAATATCCATATAATTTTTTTTGAATGTTTATACATTCAGACCACTACAGTTTCTGACTTGATGCTGAAATAAGTTTTACTCGAAGTCTGGTTTTTGATAGAGAGCGGCCTTGACGAACTTAAGATCAGAATTGGTACTGTAATGGAGCAGAAATAAGTTGCCGA